CAAACCGCTATTTATCGAAAGTGTTAACCCTTTCTAGCGGAGGGCTCCTGTAGTGACTCACATTTATTACGAGAACACGACTGGTTTAATAAAAACAATTATTATTATAACCAACTGCACCAGTGTTTGCTTTAATGTGCTTTTGTTTGACTGTGCTAATGACAGCTATTTTGTGCTTCCATTCTTATTCTTACACTTTGATTGTGACTTCGCGCGAATTCGGTTACGTTCTGTAACCAAGCTTGTATCCTGGCACGATCTCGGTATCCTTTCGATACCACGAGATCGCCAGCGAATATATCTCGACTTGGTCCATTAACTGCCTTCTGATATTTGGCTTCTCGGGGATTTTATGGATTTATTTGGTTACGTTCAACCTTGGCCTTCTGATTTATTTGGCACGCGATCCTTTGTAGCGGTGTTCATAGTTTGTGTCGACTCGACACCACGCTACAACTTCAACTATTTTGACTGTTTTGTCGATTTAAAGTCTTAAACATGTTTGTCTTGGGCGTGGTAATATAGTTCTTCTCACACATTTAATAAAATTTCTGACGAAACCTCTGATATTCATATCAACCCCAATCAATGTGTTAATTTCAACATTTTGTGGATTCATTTAATCAAGCCCTTTTAAAAATTCGGTCAAGCAACCTCATCATGTAGAGTTTCAGTGTACGATGAAACTCACTTTTTACGCTGACTAGCCAGTTTACAAGCAGTAATTTATGCTTGCTGATCATCCAAATCAAACGTAATCTTCATATCAGTTACTATCAAATTCTTTTTAACTTACACTTGGGAAATTTTGTTAAAAGAGACAGTTAAAAGAATCACTTGAAAACCCCTCCGAGTCATTTTGTCGAACAGTCGTTATATACATTTAATAGTTTGTCCTGTGTTTTATTGAAACCTTCACCCAGGACTCTTATAACGACGATTTCATATCTCTAAATTTTCTTTGAATAGGTCTTTATTATTTAACGTTGATAGAGATGCAACTGTACTATTTGAGGCTATTTTTGTAGGATGTTTGGCCATTGTTAATAAGGTTTTGTTAGATTAAACTAACAGTTACGGAGTAGAGTGGTTGATCATTGTTTTTCTTTGACTATCTTATGAAAACGGTTATTCAAATATTGGCAGATATATATTCTCTTATTTAGTTGAAATAACTATTGTTTATTAACTTTTATTTATTTCCATCGAGAGCCGTCCTACGATTATTGCCAGTTCCAATCCCAGGTAAAGAATTAAGGTTGAGGCTAACAACCTAATACTGTTGAAATAAATTTGTCACAAAAACATTCGCAAAAAACATACAATTATTACCACGCACAAGGATTTACACTGATGCAATCCAAATAAGCGTAAAACGTTCTTACTGGATGAGAATCTTATGTATCTACGATTAATAAAGCATCCTTCAAAGAAAAATGGTAGGGAATACAATAAACATCATCCAGTGCTTTTCGACCGCCGATGATAAAAGTGGAGATGATAAGAATTGGTTTCATGAGAGGCTTAAAGATCATCAACAATGATGACCTATGTCGAATAATTGGCGGCCTGCTCGAGTTAGACGGCAACAGTTCGCCCAATAACTAACATCGAAAGCACACCTTGCGGTCAGCACCTAACGTGGATTACCTCTTCATCGCATCAAGGTACTATGGATGCTTCAAAATGCGCACAACACAAGGGACGTTATTACGGAAATATATTATTAAGAACGAGTACAGAGAAGTTAGTGAAACCACCACTGTCATACGACTAATCGATGCGCGTTGGTTGTCCTTGACTTCGACAGGGATCGATGACCTGTTCGATATTTAATGACACAAATTCTGGATGATTTGGTTAGAACTCGGTGACGTTTCACTGGGCCTACAGACTGAATTAGATCGTGGAAGGCTGTCCTGGAGAAACGTGAATGCGGATATGAATTACATAGGGTGTGATGACATCATCTAGCGACGTATACTGAAAGGAAGGAACAAGAAAGATTATTTCAACAACATGGTCAGAGGCAGTAGCATTTTTCCTTTAAATCAATAGACATTCCTTGATTGGCTTTGTAAGAGCACGCCATGGAGAACCAGATCGATCACATTTGCATCAAAATAATTTAAAAGGTTCACGGAAGACCTAAGGTCTAAAATAAAGCTGATACATCTGCGGATCACCACTTAGTGGTGATCAAATTGAAGTTAGAGAATGCCAAAAAGCTGAACAAACAGTGAAGCATAAACATGTCACAGCCTCTCTTTGAGAAGCTGGTAAGTTCGACGAATGTAAGATAGCTTTTATCAACAATTTCCAAGTCTTGGACACCCAATCAAAGAAAGACTAGAGAAGTAATGTCTTCACATTGTGGGGAGTAGGTCTTTATAGACAACACAGACAAGCTTGCAGAAGAAAAAATAAGGCAGCAGTTAACCACAACCAAACGATATCAGAAATCATCAAGGCAATAGGAAAATATACAGATGAAATATCCAGATGTGAAATTCATTGTTAAAAAAGCTGGAAAGGAAGAAAACATAAAAGACCTATATTGCGAAATAGAGCAACTAGCAGGAAAGTATGACTAGACGGAGCAACTAGCAAGAAATATAAAAGAAAACTCAGTTTTTCAGTATCAAGGCCAAATTAACTAGCTATTAAAAGGACCAGCTAGATTGATTATGTAAAAATGTAAGCTGAGTGGTTAAAAGTCGGTCAAAATTCCCGATAATGTCAAAATAATGTAGTTTAAGTATTTATTTACTTTATTATTTCGCACATGTTTCCTATTACTCTATATAGAACACTGAAAATCTTGTGTATGAAAATAATTAGAACGATAAATTAGAAAGAGCAAACTTTATCAGCCCATTGAACATCTGTAATCACTTGGCTGTTGTCCATTTTGGGTTTTCTGGAATGACTAGTACTTTATTTCCCAAAAAGTGAATAACTTGAACCTCACTCGTATGCCCAAGAAAATAGATGGGGTCGTCGGGGTTTAACATTTCTCATTTCTCATTTACTGTAGTTGTGTTTTTGGTGTTGTTGGCAAACGAGGTCTAGAGTCTTGAGGTGGGATTCTCTACCCAAACTTGCGGTTAAGAAGTCATTAATATAATATTGCAAGACGTTCAAATCTCTGAATGCGTCATCAATCAATCCTTGACGAGTCTGCACAGCATTTCTTAGACCGAAAGGTATGAGCAGAAATCTGTGAAGTTCAGAACAGTGGGGTAAGCCGTTCTAGGAATGGTTGCCGTAGTCATAGGAATTTGATTACTCTCTTTCAGTAAGTCAGTTTGATAAACGACAGTCATACCTTTTAAGATGGTTACCAGGTAGTGGATGTGGGACGGGAGGTAACGATCGTGATTGTTTTTTGTGTTTACTCGTCGATAATCATCATTTGGACAAAAGTCATTGTTATCCACTTTGGGGACCGTATGCAAAGGAGATGCCTATGAGTTGCTTGATGGCAGAATAATGCCTAACTTTATTATATGACCAAATTTTTTCTGGGCTGGTCTAAGCATTTCAGAAGCTAGTCAATGACCTTTTGAGAATTCATGTGGTCCTGTAGTACAGCTGTGATATGCAATAATGCCCGTTACACCACGCAATTTTGATCGCGTTTTGTACAATCAAGAGTACTTGTTTGAAGTGTAGATGAATTTAAAGATGCCTCGAGTGTTCGACGTTTAACAAGCCCTTTACACGTAACATCTTTGTAATCGAAGTACGCCAAACCAATCAAATCAGAAATGAAGAGGTTCGAAGATATATTTAAAGGACCATCGATATATCGGGAAGCGTTTGATCTAAGCTGGGTAACAGTCGTAAGATATTCGTAGCACGGCGTACCTACTCGTCATCTGGTGAGAAACGCTTTCAGATGGATTTATCCATTGAAACCACTTAGGTCAGCATCAAGCGTCGAAGACCTACGGAAATTTATTTATTTATTTACCGCTGCAGATTAATTGCCTAAACATGACCAGCCATAACATGCGACCAAAAATTGAAGCTACTAAAACAGATAATTTGGTATCGCTGTCTACCTAAACCCCTTTGCCTGGATCAACGAGCGGGCCAAGGTTCATTCCAACGACTGGCATTTACACGAATGCAACAACAAAATACCCAATGGGTAGGTTTACGTAAACCCACGTTATGGTAAACATACCTTTTAACGTAGGTGGCGGTTAGTTCGGGGTTTAATGAGTGAGTATCTTCAGTTAGGTGTATGTCTGGCAAAAATAACGAGATCAGCATCAATGCGGAAAACTTATAAAACCATTAGTTTTGGTTATTTAGTTACCACTACAATTTCTTCGTCTGAGGTTCGTCGGCTAATAATAATCACTTTTAAATAAAATACTGAATTCGCATATTACTTGGATGACTTTAATGGTATCAACTTTACTCGTTTAGTTTCTTTCAGGAGCTTTCACTCTCGTTCTAGACAACCGTATCAACTCATACTTGACATCCAAGTGCATTTCCACAATTGTCATATAAGTTTGTTCTCGCATTACTGTTATTACTATTACTTGGGAAATAGCTAGATGATGAATGATCTATTATGTATCACAATGTCAGTGTATAATAAACTGTTTTGTTTTTCTTCTCTCCTCATTGACAAAATCGAAGGTTGGTCGAAGTTAACCAATAGTTTTACTGGACGTGGAGTCGCGGTGGTTTGTATTGTTGGTTTTACAATTATCCGAAATCTTATTCATATTTTCCCCAGTTTCGACTCACTTTAATTGCGTCGACTGGTTGTTTGTTCACTGTCTACTGTTACCAACTTTTTTCACTTCCTCTCCATACTGCATTCACGGTACCCATCAGTTATTAGGCTCAATTTCTTCCTCTTCATCCTGGATTCGTGGTTGATTCGAGTACTACTACTGAAATTACATTCATCTTTGCAATTTAATTAGTACGTATCAGCGGACTAGAAGCAAACCCACAAACGACTAGGCGTCAAAATGTTACTTTTACTGTTTGTATTACTTAATAATATCATATGCCCAACATTTGCTATATATCCAGATGATGATTGCAATAAGTGTAAACATGCTGCAAAAAGTTTTATCTTAGGATTTCACAAATCAGCTGGCAAAAATTTTGGAGGAGGGAATTCTTTGTGGGAAGAAAAGCACTTAGGGAGCTATTCTGTTAGCGAAGTGCGCTACCACGATATTGTTGAAGGGATCTGTAGTGATGTCAAGCAAGCAGTTAAATGTCATGAGTTTTTAGAAAGTATTGAGCATCATTTAGAAGATTGGTGGCTTAGGGAATACAGGATTGATTCTAATAAAGTACAAGGGTTTGAGGAAGATTTATGCGTCACTCGGACCAAGTTTTGCTGTCCTGCCAACTCCTTTGGGAATTCTTGTCTTCCATGTCAACCATGTTACTTTTTTGGTGGCAGGTGTGATGGTAATGGGACACGTTCTGGAACAGGTAATTGTATTTGCAACGACGGATATACAGGAGAGTTATGCGACAAGTGCACCTTTGAAACTCATTTCCAGTCCCACAGTGACTTCCCAATATCATGCACACGATGTCATTTGTCGTGCTCCGGTGGTTGTTCTGGTCCATTTCCTGAAAACTGTTCTGCGTGTGCCGCTGGATGGATCAAAGTAGACTTCGGTGATCAACGAGGATGTGTTGATATAAATGAATGTATTGATAGTCCTTGCAACAGGTCTACACATTTTTGCTTAAACAAACCTGGTTCTTACGAATGTGTTCCCTGTCATCCTGCTTGTAACAAATGTTCTGGTTCGACTGCGAACGATTGTGAATCTTGTGCAAGCGGTTACCAAAGAGGAAACGGAGACGTATGTGAAGATATAAACGAATGTAATGCTGACAGCAATATTTGTAGTAGCGAAGGAGAAAGTTGCACGAACACAGTTGGTAGTTTTAAATGTGATTGCAAGAGTGGATATAAGCGGACTAGTAGTGGGTGCGTGTTGGATGTAAAGCCAAGAAAAGGTTCGCAAACATCTGGTAAGTTTGAATCACAGTCAACAGTTCATAACATTAACTCACGCAATCGTAACACGCAAAGAATAATATGGACTGTAACTTATACGAAAGAATTCCTCAAATACTCTGCTTCTCTAGCTGCATTTGGCACCTTTTGCTGGTTTGCTAAGGGACACCCTTTCGCAATTCTGTTTGCGTCACTACTAATCGGCTCATTTGTGTATTTTCAGAGCATTAACTTTGATTTCGTATTTGCTAACCAGAAATAGACACTATTCCTTATTGAATTTTGTAATTTTTCCCTACAGAAAATATGAGAACTAGATGAGATGTTAATGAAGACGATACTGTGAAAACAGGGACACTATATTCTAACCATTTTTTTGAAGAACTCTGACTTCAGAGTAATATCCCACCCCAAATTTTAAGCATGACTACTAAATGTATCTACTTTATAAACTTCGTGAATTTCATGTGTCTTTGATATTTTCTATATGCTCAAGTTTTTATCATGGTACCTCAGATACGGTTAAATGTTACCTTTTGTACACAAACTGTTCTATATTTTTAAAATTCGTGTGTTTTGCTAGTCATTCTCAAGATATTTTAATCAGTCAACACTGATAAATTCCTTTACCTCGGAATGTCTTTTTTCTTGCCTCTTTAATGGAAGTTATCACTGAATCGGCCTGAAAGTTATGTAGAAATAGTGTTAGGAATATGTAGAATGTCTCCGATCGAAACACTGTGTGCTACTTACTAGCGTTCTTTGTTCTAGCTGTTCAAGTCTTAATTCCTCTGTCTTTACTTGCTTTACAATAGATGTATTTCTGGACTTGTTAAGTGAGTGATTACTGGGTTTCATTTCGCTTGTTTATTCCTTAGAAGAGTCAGTTACAAAAAATGACTTGTCAAAAGTTTTTACTCCTTCCATAAAGCCCACGTCGTTCGCAGTGCGATTTCCGTTTATATCTTGAATATATTAGTGTGTAATATTCATTCAGGTACTGTTTATCGTTACCTTAGTAGGGCTTTTTTCCAGTATTGCGGTTTGCCCCGACCTTTAAAGGACAAAGTAATACTTTAAGTTATTTCTAATGCTTCTTGGGTCCTTATAACATTGAGGGCTAATAAAAATAAGTTATTTGTCTTCACTGTTTAAAAATAGTCGTATGTCAGAATAAGTACCCCGTTTCACAAGTTTTTAGATCTATTAATAGCTATAATGTGCATGAATATCTTTAACGAAACTACTTTATAAATTTGTTAGTCTGATGGTTCGGGAAAGAAAACTTGGGATTTATGAAGTTGACTGTTGAATAACCATATGGCGTGTATAAACCCCTATGGATGTCTTGTACTTGTAATGTGTTTCCTCTCCACCGTTATGGTTCACGGGAAACATCATTCAGAGTGTATGTTTGCCAAGTGAGGTAGGACATCAAGTGATTTAATGATTATATTTACTACACACTGTAATTTGACAAATAGGGGACCATCAGGTGGTAATGAAATGATTTTTTATATTACGGAGTTTATGAAATAGCTGTGTTGAGACTGATCGATAAGCTGTTTGAAATGCTAAATATCTAACAATTAAAGTTAGCTAACACTAAAAGAAATAGAAGAGAAGAAAAGTCGTGCCAATTCCATTGACTGTATACAGTAGTAAATTGGGGTAAAACAAAGTTATCGTTATCTCCACTTCAACACTAAGCCTTAGTAGGAATTTTTAACCATTAAACGTTCTTAAGTAGTTTATTAAATAATACGAGACAAAGACGTTTAATTACTCATGTAGAGATTAGGATAAATGTTTTAAAAAATGACTAAAGGCTTTATCTTCAGGTTTCGTGTGACATACGAAGTGGGTCGTCCCGTTTTTCTAAATAACTTCGATAAAAATTAAAACGAAAAAAAATCAATATCTCAAGTCTTGAGACTTAACAATTTTACATTTTTTGGGAGCGAGTTTCTTTAAGAGCAGAGTTTTATTTTAGTTTACCTATGCACTAAGGTAATCCCCATTCGGAAAGGAAGTTACAGGAATATGGTATTGAACATTTCAGTCATCTTTAAGAAAGGGAAATATCAATCACTGTTTCATATTATCTTTAATAACAATGACTTAGCTACAATTGTATATGATAAGGATGTCTTTGTCACATTTATATAGTTTCGAAACGTGTAATGATTGCAAGTTGTCTGCTACAGTAAACCGACCAGTCTATATTTTAACATTTTCTGATGAATATTAACTGAGAATTATCCTTTGCTAAGGAGAATCGTTGGAATCATGCTTTCTTTGGGTTTAGAAGGTACTTTATTTGAAACAGCTGTCTGAATTACCATCATACATGACCAAGCTACGATCAACTATCTAGTTGTGGCTTTTATAACTAACTCACTTCATAATGACGATAAGTGTTACTCTGATTTTTGTAGGGCTGCACAATATTAAACACGGTCCACCAGTATTCCTCATTGTGCCGCTAAAAGCTGTGCTGGTTCCAGAGAGCCTGGTCCTCTCAAAAAATTACCCTCTTGCAGAGTATGTTTATGACCACGAAGTGGGGGTATGGACCAGTGGTTAAAGAATTGGACTTAGACCCACTAAATACTGGTTCAAACCTTATCCTATCTGCTGTAGTTTGGTCATCTGGGTATTGCCAATAGCCCTTAAATAAATGTTTATTCAGTAAGTGAGGTAAAATAAAACTATTGGTAGTATAGTTATATCAGGAATATCTAATCAATCCATCTTTTGGAAAATGACTACCATGTATCCAGTAGGTGAATAATCTTAAATGTATACGTAAGTTTTCAGGCTAATCATTTATTAAGTCTTTGAAATCCAATCTAGACATGTTTAATGCACGGTGTTTGTTCGCTTCTGTATAGTGTCGGAACAACAATAGTTATATACCAGTATGTTACGGGAGTGTTTTTTCCAAGCCATATGCTGTATAACATCCATTTAAATGTCAGGAGTTGCTTTAATTTTGAAAAAAATTTGTCACTTAAGTAAGTATCATGCTTAACGAGACTTGTCCAAAATAAGGAGAAATAGTCCCGAAATCACTTGAATCGTTGCGGTTAAATATGCCTTTTTTATCTCGGTTTTTACAATTCTCATCTACTTTGTGTTTTACAATCAAGCGGTTGGTTCGGTCAAGCCTCAATGCCGCCATTGTCTATTTTTCATACTGACCTCACTAGGTGAGGAGCGAGAAGAAACATCGCATCACAACAAAACATTATATGATCTTATAAGGTCAATCAGTTTTTCTTTGATTGTGAAACACATTATTCTTATTAACACAGGTCTTCCTAAGTAAATAAAAGTGACAACTAAATATAGTTATCAGTTGCGCGTCAATTTAGCGTTATTAGGTAAGGGATTGTATTTCGAATATTTGTAGTTAATTGTTTTGGCAGGTAAATATAATTGTCTCCATAATTCTTATATATCATATCTCCACCATGAAAATTAACGTAAGGCAAATAATGAGTGCATGAATACTTCGCTAACATTTAAATCTTTATAAAATATGTTTATCTAAACTGTTGTTAAGTGCATATTTCTAATGAATAAAGTTTATAATTTCATATATGAAAAATAAACAGACTGATTTTATAGGTAAGTTCATCGTTATCAAAATATATGTTTATATACAAATATTGAATAGTCTACCATTAAAATGTCATGTAGTTATAGGGTTATTATATATATATATATATGGCTGAATTTACTTAGTTTTTCAAATCAAATCATGTTATACCCTCGACGTTTTAGCGATTTGCAAATTTTAATAATATTTTGGAATATTATTTATCATCTAACTTTTCTGATTAATGCTAATGGTAAGCAAATTTCACATTCGATTCATATCATATATAACTTAAAAATTTATCCTCAGTAGCCCTTATGCTTTACATCTATTTTATTCCTGTAAATCAATGTTTTCCGACTAATAAGATCTAAAAATATAGTGTGAAAATTCACTAATACTGATTAAATAGGTTCCCTTTAACAGATCTATCAGCTAGTCGCCTTACGATAAGTTCTTTTCTTCAATTGTTTCGGTGAAGCAATATTCATTTTATGAGTTTCGATGTAAAACTTGCTCATCTTCCATTGGATGGTTTTACAGATAGCCGTAAATATATAAAAAAAGTTCATTGAAATCATTCGTTTTCTTGCCAAGTATTTGAGGTTTTAGATCTCAATACTTCTTATTGAAAGGGTTCTATATCGCATAAAGATATGTTTAGCGAAAAGAGACAACCAATAGGAAGTTTTACATTTAGGCTTACGTCCTCAAGATATGTTTATAATCTTGAGGTAGTTAATACTCCGTGTAGGATTTGAACACTTGTTGAAGGTGAAGTACTAAACGTAACACTAAAGCCTGAACAACATGATATTGATTGCTACTAGGCGATATATTATCATGGAAAATAACTGACAAACTGTAGTGTGTGAAGGAACTAATGATTCCTTTGTACTTGTTGAATGCTTGATTTCGAATTCCGAATACAGTACATTCGTTCGTGCTTATCTAGTACTTCTTGATCCGATTACGTTATTTCCGGGATTTTTAGTCCATACTATAATTCAAATATTCCTAATCATCATAAAAACGTCCTTATGAATTTTTATTATCTGGTTAGTGGATTTATAAATTCATGCATTTTCAACGTGGTCAACTCTTATAAAATGTTTCATAAATATGTTCTCAACCGATATTTATTGTGGATGTGGAAGGCTGAGCGAGAAACTGCACATAAGGTATCATTTACGCCTAAACTTTCAATACTGAATATGTGATTGAAGTAGATTAGCAAATATTTGGGCAAACTGATGGTAAATCCTTCGGAAACTATTATTCTCGAAAGACACTGCACACACTTATACTAAATGCAGTTGTCTAAAGAGACAAATCTACGATACATTTAGTAAACAGTAAGTTCATTTGTCAAGAAATTAGAATCCGTTTGCTAACTACTATTGAAAACGCAATTGTGTATCAACCTGAAATTCGTTGTGACTTTGAATTTTGTCCAGTTATTGGGATGGTTTTTAAGTTAATGAAACGTTTATGAGTGTTCCTAAATCAATTGGCTTCTATGCATCTTCACAATATATACTATGTCACGTTTTATTTTTTTTATTCTTAAAGTTTTCTGGTTGCTAATGTATTCAGTGTTTCCAAGTCTTTTATTCATAAAATGATGGAATGCATAGAATCTAAAGCTGCAAATAGCTCGTTCTATTTTCTGTCAATGAACACTGATGGGCACTGAAACCTGTCTTCAAATTAAGTCAGATTGTTAAGAAGTTCTTGCTAAATTTGTCTTGAGTTTAAGAACTGAATATTCAAACTTTCAAAGATTGAATTTCTAAAATAATGTTAAAGTCGTCAACTTATTTGTAATATGAGGAATGTGTGTATGGAATAAGTACAAAAAAAGAATAGATGATCATATATTATCTGATATTTCTAGCTTCTGGATGCTTATCGTTTCCACAAAGTTTTGATAAAGTAGTTCCTTGATATACATAACATCAAGTGAGGATCGACTGAATGTCCAGTCCAAGTTATGAAATGTGACAATTAATTTTTATCGTGCATACTACTTAGAAATAATAAACAGTACAGAATCTTTGATAAAAGATTTGTATTGCTTTCTGTTGTAATGTATAAACGCCCCTCTCGGCATAAGTGGTAAATCAGTTATTTGTTATATAGATATGTGTATATTAAAGTCACTGCATGAGATTTCATCAGCAACTCATGATTAGGTAATTTTATGTGAAGTTTAATTACTGTTTTTAACATGTATAGATCTGTTTTATCATTCTTCTACGATCCGGTATACCAGAAGGAATCGGCTGAATAAAGTTAACTGAGGGTGCATGATGGTTGGTCAATTAAATTTACTAACAAAAAATGTATTTGATTCACCTTGGAGGCGGTATTTTAAGTAAAAAAAGACCTAAAACGAAGAAATATTATCTTTGCTCTAGTTCTAAATTGCAATTTTCACCATACTAAAAAGATGTAATACTCATTAGATGATTTGATACCACAGTAACCAGTAAGAATTTTAAGACGCAGAACCAATGCATTTAAATAACCCGCCTCAAACATTCGTCCTTTGGGCTCTGGTGCCATGGCCCAGGTCTCCAAGACCATTGCTAATCAAGTTTCCCTTTCAGGTTCTTCAATGCGAAGTTTCCTTCCGTTGTGTGGGGGACCAGAGAGTGGCTACCGTCCTATAACAGCACTGAAGATCCTGTTCTTCATGGTCAAACTTCATTATAACTCATTAATATTTCTATTATCACTATTAACCATTCTTCTACAACTTAATCTTTATTGTCACGCGCTGCCATCACTGATTATTGGGGTTCGTGAAATGTTATTTCTGGTCTCTAAAGTAGGTGTTGTAGCTTACACTGTCTGTAACCCAAGTCAAACTGAATAACAAGCTTCCTTAGCTAGGGCTCTAGGATATCCATGCTGTGTCTATGAATCAAGCATACAGGATCCAGGTTTAATCACTGACTTGACCTTACTTAATCAATGTAGAAGTTTGGCGAGATTTGGCCGCTGGTTATCTAGTGGCTCGATAGCATCGAGACGTTAGCAAGTTCAAGATTAGAACAGGCTCTTTGACTGGATTCGAACAGACAGTAGCCTGTGTGCTCTTTAACTAAATGGGAAATACGAAGATAGAGAGATAGGTACACACACTGCTGTTTCTTTTTCATCTCTACCTACTTTCCTGTCGACTGTAGTCCGAGCAACTTAGAGGGTGAGTTTTACAGAAGGTTTTCTGTTCTCCTTCGAAAAGTCAAACGGTCAGTCATAATCGTAGAAGGGTATTTTAATACCCAAGAACGTAGTCTAAGCCTAGATGAAAGACACTTAGATAGGGTCTTACAGTGTTCCAGCTCAGATAACACACAACGGCGATAAACTGCTACAACTATGATCAGATAACCACTTATACTTGACGAGTACCAACTTTAATAAAAAAGAGACATCATTTGACATAGTGACCGCCAAGATTGACTCAAATATACTATATTCCCACCGGCCGTACTTAGTGAGGCTCAATAAAAGACTGTCATTCATTCTGGAACACAATTTCAGACTCTGATCATGCTTTGTTTCGATCTCAATGGACGCACAAATTCTATAGACAAGAAGGTCCCTCAAAGTTCAATCTAGAGACGTGAAAGTCAAAAGCATATCTTAAGAACAGTTACGAAGGTAGTTCGTCAGTCGTCGAAATTATCTGCGTTTCAGTGTAGGTTGGCATGATAGTTTATCAGCAGTGAGATCTACTAATGAGTTAAACTAAAAGAATAAGAAAATTATTTGGATTTCTTTAGCATCTTTAGCATCAACCCATCAAGCTTAAAACACAATCAAAACTAGGAAAATCCTCAACAGTACTGGTCAGGGAAAGCTAAATACTTTCAGTCTTATCAAAGAAACAGGGAATTAAAATTTGTGTATCAGTGAGACTATTCCTGAAAAAGTTTTCATAATAATTACTGGTCCGGGAAATTTGTAAAGTGAGCATAATACTATGGAGAATATTTTAATTGATCTCTAGCTACACTACATCTTGAAACAGTGTGAACGGGAAATCGACACGTTCCATAACTCTTAGTGAGCTTGGGAAGGCTATATCTGATTCAGGGCGATGGAGAGCAGCACGTCCTATTAGTCTAGCTCCAGATATCTTTAGGGATGGTGGTCTGGTCTTAGCACGTGGAGTGACAGATCGCAGCTAGGATCTAGGAATTGGATGTAATTCTGTTTGACCGTTCTCGATCACTTAGTGTCCCAATTTACAGGACAGGACGAAGATTCTCTCTTGGTAAATATGGAGAAATGAGTTCGACTAAAATTATATCGATCTACCAGGAATTCACTTTTTAAACGTTCAGATAACAGCTCTTGGGATCTAAATGAGAACAAACAAATTAGTTAGCTATTAAATTATTAGGGCTGTCAGTCCGTTCGAAGTTACCGAATCGGTCAAAGTACACTCGTGATGACGTTCGCAATCAAACAAGTTAAACACTGGACCATTACAATTCTGCACCTACTTAAAATATTGAAAGAAGTCTTTTAAGATACATAAACTTAAATAGTTCATCAAGATAACAGAGTGGTCATCAGTTTGTACAAAGCTTTTGTACGACACCATCAGGATTACAAAATTGCCACAAAATATCTCAATTTAGATAAGAATCCTCGCAGTTTAACTCGAATTTATGTTAAGAAGATCTAACATTACGGGACAAGAAGAAACAAGAAAACTCAAAACTTCGGTAGTCTAATACTAGTTGGCTACAAGTTAATGCCAATGTTACTTACTTACGCCTGTTACTCCTAATGAAGCATAGGCCACCGACCAGCATTCTCCGACCCAATCTGTCCTGGGCCTTCTTTTCTAGTTCCATCCAATTCTTGTTCATTTTTCTCATGTCTATCTCCATTTCCCGGGGTAATGTGTTCTTTGGTTTTCCCCTTTTCTTTTGGCCTTGAGGATGCCATGTGAGGGCTTGTCTTGTGACTCAGTTGGGTGCTTCCCTCAATGTGTGTTCTATCCATTTCCAGCGCTTCTTCCTGATTTCTTCCTCTGCTGGGATCTGGTTTGTTCTCTCCCACAGTAGGTTGTTGCTAATAATGTCTGGCCAACAGATCCGAAGTATTTTGCGTAGACAACTGTTAATAAACACCTGTATTTTCTGGATGATTGCTTTCGTAGTTCTCCAGGTTTCTGCCCCATACAGTAGAACTGTCTTGACATTTGTATTGAAAATCCTGACCTTGGTG